TAAATTTTAGCATTAAGCAGTTACCAACGACCACAACATTTCGTTAGTATCAGGCAATATTAACTAATAATATGAACAGTAGATTCAAATGATTTAACATGTTGGGTAATTAGTAGCAGGAAGTTTACTTTGCTTCCAAAACATGAAGTACATCGGACTTCAGCAAAATTAAGTCCATGGGAATTATGCCGAAACCACTGTCCCTGTTAGTTCAACATTTAATAGTAATTTTGTTGTGAGCGTGCCAGTTTTCCATCTGGCTAAGATATAATTGGGAGCCATCCTGACCACCATTTCCAAACTTGGAGTCATGTCAAGGATATAGCCTTGAGAGAGTAATGCGTTGTTGCGACCATCTGCTTTGCATACTGAGTGAAGCCTGCTCAGGCCTCTATATAAACTTTTAAAATTCTGGCAGACAGGTGCAGAGATTTACTCATCTTGCAACCACTCAAGACAAGCTTCATGAGTAAATTCCCTTGCTTATTAAACCTGCTGCCTACCAATCGGGAGTGGTCTGCCTCTCTCCTTGCCCTCTGTAAACAGGGAGGGAGGGACGGGGTTGGGGCGGCAGTTTCAAATTTCACCCAGCAGACTCCCAATCCTGAGAACCAACAGGAACATAAGTCAGTATTTCAAAAAATTGAAATGCCACGAGTTTTTACTTCAATAACAATTCATTACATATTTTACAAACCTCTTGAAGGTTCTTAACAATTGTGGCCCTTGAAACTAAAGCACATAAATTAAGTAAAAAATAAAGTACATACTACTGTTCTCCTTTCTTTATTAGCAAACTCTATTCTCTTGAATTGTTTCTCTTAATAAGCTCAAGGTAAAATATGGCTATGCCTAATATTTTAAAATTAGGGCAAACTGTATGACAAGCTCTATTAATATTACTTACATTATATCTCACTGAAATGAAAAGTTATTCTTTTTTGGAGTGGGGAGAGGAGACTTTAGGTACAAACTATAGGTTTTACAGTCATCATGCAGTCATTATTTTTCTATAAAATGTAACATTTAATTTCTTGTAGAAATTACCCTTTATAAATTGGACACACATTTCCACTATAAGTTAAAATACCCACAAATGCCCCAAAGCTAAAGAATATATTAACGTATTCATAGTAAAACTATGAAAAGCTCTGAATATGTGTACCCACATTGAAATCATTCAAGCTATTCCCTTCATCTGGAATGTTCTTTCCTCTTCTTCCCTGCTGTGTATTGACTTTGTTTTGATTTCATATCCACTTGTTTATGACTTAAGTGAAGTTGTTTTGATCCAAGGGTGATTTTGTTTACATTGAGGAGGCTGTGCCAGGATGTTGTTATAAACATGTGTTGCTATTGATCAGCGCTCAGTAGGTCAGCAATTGATGGGGGACTTCCCAATAAGAAACTGGGGAGGAGCAACCATCAGGTGATGAACTTTTAAACTTTAAATACCAAGAATTTGTGAGGACTTATCAAGAGTATCTGGTGGGCAAAGCTACTCTTTGCTGATCTAAACAGTTCTCTGAAGATCTTGAGGCACTTGCTCCTCCCATGGTCAGGCTGTAAGGGTGAAACTTAGGATTTCAATAACTTAATCAGCCTATATAGCTTGATTCACCTCCTAGTTTGCTAGTCAGCTGTTTTCCCTTTGCTTCTCTCCCTCACTGCCCAATGTAATTGCTCAGCTTTCTTAAGGCGACACGCATACCTAGCTAATCAGCAGAACACTCACTTGCAAGAAACTGAGTCAGCCCTTCCGACATCAGCAACCAGGCTGCCCTTCTTGACTGTCAGATGGCATGACTCACCCATAACACCGGGTTTGAGATAACATCATTGAACAAACTGGGCCCCAGGAAATGTTCTCCTCGAGGAGTTGCATAACTCACTCCTCTTCTTTGTTCTGCTTCTCCTTGTCTACCTGTAAAGCCTTCTGACCATTCTAGGAATGGGAAAAATGGCCCTTGAGGCAGGAGTTCGCCATCCTCTTGGAATGCCAGCATTCTGAAAAAACCGGCTTTTCCTTCCACCAATTTCCTCTCTCGATTTTTTACTGTTTCAAGTGGCAGGCAGCCGGACGTTAACACTGTGACAAGGCTACTCTTGATCTACCTGGAGTGGTGTAAAATAATTCAGCAGTTTCTGGGCGAGAAGGGACATGTGTTTCCTGGTGGAGCTACTCCTAGGAGGCAGTGGTGCAATGGAGCAATTACCTTCCGAGCAACCCACCTTGCTGGCAAACACTGGAGCCCTTGCCTGCTAAGCTACGTGACCCAGGAGCGAGGGAACTAAGCCTTCAGCTGACACGCAGCATTTAGTTGGAGGGATTGACTCTACCAAGAACCAACTCTTAGAAAGGTACACCTCAACTAAATTTGGACTTAATTTCTTTCATTTTCTCTTTGCTGGAACAATAGCGTGATTATCTATCATCGGTTTGGAGTGTATTTCTTTATTGGTTCATTAAGAGACATTATCCTATATGCTATGGGCTTGTGAAATATTACTATAAATTATAATTCCCACAGTAAACCAGTGTTGAATAAATTATTGGCAAAGACAATCTCAATCTCTGAGTATAATTTGCCCCAGATAAAACATTGCCAAATTTGTGAATCCTACTAATTATGAACAAGTTAGTTCTCTGCCTTTAAAAGTGTTATTGATAACATAGCCTCTGAATTTAGTTATCTTAAACAATTCTTTCTCCTTTCCTTGAATTCTGAGAGCATTTATTGACTGTGCCTTCTCCTTGGAAGTTAGCTTATGTTGGTTTGTACTATTAGAGAGTTTTTATAAGTGTCATCTCTCTGAAAAGACTTCATACTCCTAGATTGCAGGAGCTGAGACTTATAACTGTTTGTATCCTCTGGGCTTCATGTGGTATTCATCTGTGATTATTGGAAGTCAGAGGAATTTTGTACTGATTAAAATTTTGAGGCTTCATTAAATTATTTGTATGATGATTGGTAGGGCGAAATGACAAATACCACAAATAGACATGCACATACTATCATTGTACTTTTGTTCATGCAATTTCTTTATGCGATTTGAGGGAAAAAGAGATAAAAGATAAAATTTGTATTTTAGAGCAAGACTGGCAAATTGTTTTTGTAAAGGGTCAGATAATAAATATTTTAGATTTTGTGGGCTATATCATTTCTGTAGCAACTGCTCAACTCAGCTATTATAATGTGAGAACATTTATAGACAATTCACAGAGAAATGAGCCTAGCTATGTTCCAATAAAACTTTATTTTCCAAAACAGGAGTCAGACCAGATGCAGCTGCTCAGATATACAGGGTTTTTCTAGTGTGGTGTTCTACAGTGTTGATCAGGATATATTAAACTAAAAAACATACATCTTATTTCATTTGTACTTAGTGAGACAGAATAAATAAACCAATATTCACTCAGAGTTTGTTTTTCTCACATACTCCCTGATATCCAGCAAACTGTATGCTGGAAAACACATTTTATGTAAGCTTTGGTGTTGCAAATTTTGAAAATACTTTGTAGTACAGCATAATTTTTTTTTGTTTTAAAAGTGTTATTATATCCTCTCATGTATCTATGGTTTAAGTGGTAAGATTATTTAGATAAAAAAATAAGTGTTACATTATTATTAAGAATTGAAACCAACAGTTATCATTTACTCATGATTCAAAGATAATTTTAAACAGTTTAATCATGAAGTATGATTTTTTTTATTAATCAATAAATACATTTTGGGATCTCCTAAACAAATGCCTCTCTAAGGTTATTCCAGGCACCAGGAAAAACTTTGCACAACTATCTACCTTCATCCTATTTGTCCTAAAAACACATTTCATGTGCATACTTGATGCTTCTCTTTTGTGTGACTCCAGATTTTCTGAAGAAACTATAGATAGGTAGATGGATAAATAGAAAGATATACAATCATCTCTGTATAATTCATAAAAATATTGAGAATTCAAAGTCATGCTTTGAATTTTTATTTAGACATTATTAAAAATAAAATTATATTTGTTTTTAAGAGGAGTTTATTTTTCTGACAATAATCAATGTTCCCAGATAAAGCTGAACAAGTCCTTTTGTTTTCACTGCTTTAAGTGTGTGGTAGTGCCACCTGCTGGTGAGCTTTAAGCAAATGTTAGTATCATGAATAAAAGCAATGTACATGTTGGACATAGTATAAAAATGCATTGTGAGAAGCTGCAAAATTAAATTATGTTGAACATTATGCAAGGTATGAGAAGTTATTTCATCTATTTTTAATTTTATTTTTTAAAGATTCATTTTCAAAGGCAATAAAATTGCCTGAGACCTTTAATAATCTTTTTTGTAATAGTAAAACTTTCTAATGAGGAATTTATAACTTTAGGTACCAAAATTGTGTTTACTCAACTTTTTTGTTTGCCGTTTTTCTAAAATTTCTTTATACTTTTCAGTTTACTCAGAATATTCAGAACACAATTTATCTGATGCATACTCATTGATGCAAACATACGTTCAATCAGCTTTCCACTCTATTTCCCAAGTCAGCTGATGAACCATCACTATGTGCTGTAATCACAGTATTTCACAGTATTATCCTGTCTCTTCCCCTCCAATTTCCTTTTTTTTTTTTAACCTTTTGAATTCATGGAAACTGCCTAAACAATTTTGAAACATTTAAACTGCTTAAAATAAAATTTTAAAATAATATTGAAAGTATTACTGTCAGCTTGCAAAAAGGAGTGTAATTTAATGCTAGAATGTTGGTAGTGGAAGAAGAGCAGACAGATCTCTCTGCCTTAGAAAGTTTTTCTTTCTTTTTTTTATGAATGAATGAACCCAAAGTTTTAGCACCATGTATTAACTCTGTAACTGACTCCAACCTTCATTCACCCCATTCCTTCAACACTTTTTGGATAACAGTGAACTGCTTTTTCCTGGGCCAGAAAAGTAAGTAGAGAAGCAGATGCACCTTGAAGGTGCAATTGAGTAGTAGACAAAGTTTATACAAATGTAGGAGTCCCTTCACATCCACTTTCTGAGCATCTCTAAAAATCCCCTCTGGCAAACATCCCCCACCCAGTATCTGTCTGTGTCTTCATGCAGCACTCTAGCTACACAACGACTGCCACTAAAATACTGAATACATGGGATATTGACTGCCCCCCTTAATGTGATCTTCAGTACACAGCAGGTCCTGGAATAATGTTGTTTCGTTCAACATTGTTCCATTATAACATTAATGAGGTGCTCTAGGAACTTAAATCTTGTTTATATCAATTAGTCTATGGTAAAATTGGTTTTGTTATATGTTGTTTCACCTTAAGTTGCATAACTTATCAACAACATTAAATGAGGACCTTCCCTGGACCGAAGGCCATGGTACCCGCCTCTGCCTCCCTTCTGCTACATGGCTTTTGACATTTCTTCCTTACTTTCTTTATAATTGTTTAATTTATGTGCTTTTGCCATAAGCAACCTCAAATTCCTTTAAAAATAGTTTGAGTATAAAAAATAAATATATTCGATAAATAAATACCTGTAGGCTTTTTTTTCCCTCGAAGACCTTTTTTCTGAAAAATGATGTGTAGACCTAGTAGCTTAATGAATTTCTGGTTAAGGCTTTGCATGTTTTAGCCTTTTGAAAACTTTGCTTAAACCAAGAGTCCTATGAATATGAGCATCTTACCTACCTGATATATTAGTGCTAAGTTATGGGGAGATACTAGGTCTTGTGGGCTCCTGGAAGTCCACAATTTGTTTATTGCTTTTTCTACTCCAAATCAGAGCATGATCTGATAGGAATTTAACAGTGAAGGTGCCAGGACAACTCTCATCTTAGTTTTGTTAGCATCACAGTCCCCTTTGGCAAAACAAAGAAACAAACAGAACCTCTGTGCTCTTGCTAATGTAAAACAAATCTAATGTGATTTCTGTAGCAAAAATATTTAATGTTTTATAATGCTTACATATTCCACCAAAATGTAACAAGGCCATATAATATCTCCTGTCTCTATGGACATATATTTCTTGACCTGAGTGGAGAATACTGTATATTAATTCAAAGTATTAATCTTTCGAGGGAAACAATCATGTTTGTTGTCCTGTGTTGCTTTGTCATTAAATGACAGTCAGTGCTGGCCACCTGCTTAACCGAGCAACAGGAAAAGGGACTAATTCTTTTTGGTGCTAATTTGCTGAGGATTTGAGTTAGCATGTCAGTGAGGCAGACTTCTGTTATTTCCTTAAACAACTACTCTCTTTATGTACATTTTCTAAAAGTACCTTTTCTGTCTCTAAAGGACTGTTTTAAGAAATTGTTTCATCTGAATAAAAAACTTTCTTATCCCATTCTGAATTTGTACTTGGAGACTGCCTAACCCTTTCTTGATGACTCACAATGTAGACTGTCTTAGTGGAAATATCATTCTGTCAGAGTAAATGGGATACCTTTTGAAGAGGTGCGAATTACCAAAAGCTAGCAAAATGAGATTTAGTAAAACTGAATACTAATTTACTGAAAAGCGCCTGCTTATACAATAGAAGACTATTTACTATAAGAAGATAATGACAAATGTTCTGCTTGTGTGTTATTATTAATACTCATAATGACTAACTGGAAGTCATAGGCTAATTCAAAGACAGAAAGATGTGACTGCAATTTCTTTCAGTATGAGCGTGCTTGCAGTTGTAGTGAATGTGAATGTCCAGTAAATGTCCTGTGGCCAGATGCCAAAACTTGGGAACTTGGAAAGCACAGTAAGGGTTTCCAAAGTCATGAAGATCCTGTGCTAGAAACTACAGGAGCTCAGTGTTGGTTCATTTGCCCACCTAAGCTGAGATCAGTGCTGGTATCATTTCCTACTCTGGATACCGAGTTGGTATATAAAGTTTTAGCAATGAGTTATATTGCTTGCTAGTGAGATTATAGGTAAAGCTTATTAAATAGTTGATTGAAAGGCCAAAAGAAATGAATGATCCATAAAAAATAAATAACCAATAAGCATCCTCACTAGTAATAAAAAATAACCACATTAAAAAGCAACAGTCAGATACCATATTCTTTCTATCTACATATCGTTCAATGCTTCAAGGGTATGTTGAGAATTTCACACTAATACATAGGTAGTAAGCATGTAAATTTTGAAATCCTTTATAGAACATAATTTGGCAATACTCATCTTAACTCTGAAAGTGTTCCTATCTTTGAACAATTCATTTTCATAACATTTCATTTTTATTAGCCTAGTGACTGGTCTAAGGAAGTAATAATAGATGTTAGCAAATAGTTATATACAAAGATTTTCATTTGAGGATTATGGGCACTAAAATCTTGAAATTGTCCTAAATATTAAAAAATAAGCTAACATCAAATACA